TTATGTAGGCAAATCACGTGTCTGACGAACCGAATCATTAGCGTGGTATATTTGATGAGTTTTTGTTGGTAACAGATTGTACTATATGTTCCGTTAGTTCAACAAGTTAAATCTAGTCTTAGATATGAGTGAAAAGCTGTTCCTGTCACTGAGTACAAATGTGAAGTTTGGACATTTTGATGGTTGGCTGTTATAAAACTATGAGAATGTTTGAACATTGTTGAACATAAAGTATGCCAGTATTTATGAATCTTTGGCTTTTATTTTTTTTGGTATGAGCGTCGCGATGAAGTAAATCCAGAAAAATGCAAAAAAGCAACAAATTTATGAAATGTAATTTTACTTTTTAGCACTAGGTCGGTACAGCCACTGGTAGAATGCTACATGTAGTCCCCAAGGGTATCACCAGCTCATCAGTCAGTGCTTTGTCACTGATTTATATTCATATCTTTCTTAACTTTTCCGTTGATAGCTTTGGTAGTCAATAAGAAACTAAAGTTCCAACATCTTTAGGCAAAGTTGTCCTAGGGAGGGATTTGGTCATAAAGCTCTTAAGGTATTCATGTCATATTATACATACGTTCCTGTTTAGTTCTGTCAAGAAAAACTCTTCGAACGCACCAAATACAAAGTGTTATTTCTTTTCAAAAGTTTGTTTAACCAACCAAAGTAGCGATAAAATAATCCGGCGTTATATAAGTCATTAGAGGGGCAAACATTCGATAGAATGTTTTTTATTCACTTCGATCAATATGATTATATAACTTTTTATAGCATATATTGATTATGGTTCTGCTATATATACATTTGTATATCGCGATAAGAAATATAATTAAATGACGTCTTCTTGGAGGTCTGCAGCTTTTATTATCAGTTAATAGGAAAGCAAACAAAGGCTGTTTAAAACAGTATTAATACTAATTGAAATTCATCGGTACATGTTTTTGTTGAATATTATCTCCCATTCTTGGTGGGTGGGGGACTTCTCAATCTGTCAATTAGTGAAGTTCTATAAATTTAATCAATAAGAATAATGCATAGTTAAACTTGCGTTCGTCTTATTTTAAATCTACAGAGAGCTTCATTTTTAAAGACGTAAATATTCTAAATGGCAGTTTGTGTACAGTAAAACTGACTTGTTAGTCTAGTATGTTTTTTAATTTTAGTTCATTTATATGTTTTGGAGTTTAGTGTGACGTCCATTTTCACTGAACTAGCACACAATTTTAGTTAGGGGCCAGCTGAGGACCACCTCCGGGTGCGGGATTTTCTCGCTGCATTGAAGACCCATTAGTGGCCTTCGGCTGTTGTCTGCTCTTTGGTCGGGTTGTTGTCTCTTTGACATATTCCCCATTTCCATTCTCAATTTTATTTCTTATTTTTACATCCAACCAGCCAAATTTTTTTTACAAAATTTGAAATAACCAAAATTGACAGTTGTTTGCAAGATGCAAAGGAAGAAGTTGATCATTTCTTGATTTTCCTTCTTTTTTTTGCAGTTTATTTGCTTCTTTATACGTATCCAATCAGACCGGATGCAACTGTGTTGTGCCGAGTTTGTATCTACAGCAATGATTTCTATTTTTTAGTTTTTTGCATGGACTTTTTGAGAACGCGTAGACAAATTTCATTAGTAAAAAAACTGTTATAAAAATATACTGTATCTTTTTTTGTGTTTTAATAAACGGACACATTTCTGCTCGTCAAAGGACAAAAAAGTGTCACGGCGTACGAACTCTTTTCTAAAATTTTAGAATTAAATTAAATTAAACATAACAGGAAAAACAATCACATTTTGAACGTTTTATGAAACGGACTATGCATTTTAGCTTTTGTTTTTTTTTTGAGGGGGGGGGGGGGGGTATATATAACATTAAATTGTTAAATCAAATGGCTTCGCCTCGATTTTTTCAGAATTTAACGTAACATTCCATCAGAAGAAGTTTAACATCAAAATGTGTTTTTTTTTTCATATCAAAGTTTTCATATGACAGAGTATGATAAATAATGTATGATTTAAGAAATGTTGGTCAAACTTTATTTACAAATAATTTAATTTTGAATGTAACGCGTCTGCTGATTGGCTGACGTTGTTTTGTTTATCAGCTCATAGACATAATTTAGTCATGTGACCGTGACGTCATCAACGTTTTTTCATTGTTTACTCCGGTTTAAAATGGAATTTAGAATTAAATTATAAGAAATAACTGTAATATTTTATCTGTCTATTCGAAATAACATAAAAAATGTGATGCACACTTTAAAATAACCCGCTACGCGGGTTATTCAGTGTGCATCACATTTTTGAATTTATTTCTTCATAGACAGAAAAAATATTACAGTTATTCCTTAAATGTACACCCTAATCCTTCGTCTATACTTAAATAATCTTTTCTCAAAACAAATGAATGAAATGATTGGAGTTCCAAACTGAAATTTCCTTTACTCTGTAGTCATAATTGTAGATCTGGTAATCGCAAGATGTCTGTTACGAGTGAGTGGACTGTTAGCCTCATGGATAGTGGCAGTTCATCGATAATCGCATGGTTTAGAAACTTTGATATCTATATTGGACGGTGATTAATTTCAAACTGCTTGTTAATATCGATTAATGGGAACTGATGGAGAAGCAAATTGGAAGTAAGGCACAACATCAAATTCATAGTATACCGAAATTGTTTATTGTTATTGTTGCTCTACTTAATACTCGAAGTAAAAATCTTCAATTTATAGCAAGCCGAAGAATAAGCATTTATAATTAGTTGAACATGTAAATATCCTTTACGTAAAAGTATGTAAAAACAGAGAATAAGCATGTATGCTTTCCTTGTAAATAAATAATAAAGCCTTGTATTTTTGTCGCTTATAATGTTGAAAGTATAAGCTGTTCTGTCTTTATTATTCTTGTTGTGAGCTATGGCGAATGGTCTTCGAATGTCAAAATTACTACCGCATAGTTTGCTTTTTTCCCAAATGTAACTTAACTTGACTAAGTTTGGTTGGCGTTTGTTGTTGTGTATCAAATTTCGTTTATTGGTTTGTACCTAAATCTGGCCGTTGGGTTTTCTAGTTTGAATTGTTTTACATTTTGTCATGTCGGGGTCTTTTACAGTTTGCTATGTGGTGTTTCTTTTGCTGATTGTTGAAGGTCGTACGATGACATATACATGTAGTAGTTAACATCTACTCCATTTGATCTCTGATGGAAAGTTGTCTCATTGCCTATCATACCACATTGAACACAATGGATTCAGTACATTTGATACTTCAGATCGTTTCAAACAAAAAACGAAAAACACTTCTGATATATATATAATGATATAAAATATGTATGCAAGAAAGAAGTCATAAGATATAAATAATCTAAACATCTTAACCAATATGGGTTTTAATGATAGTTTTCGCTTTAAATACGAACGCTGATTTGTTGCACAATCTTTAGTTTACTGTGCAAAGTTTTGTTGTTGTGTTTTTCATCTGTCGTTTTTCTTTTTTGGTCATTGTGTTGTATGTTTTTATTGGACTTATAATTTTTGATTGTTACCTTAGCTCAAATAGGTCTGGCCCTCCTCGTGATCGACTCGAGGTTACTGTAGCCAAAGTAAAGCAACGAAATGTAACGACTGAATTACTCGGATTATTGTTACCTTGTTATATCCCCTCTTTTTATATTGAATAATAAAAGTGATATGATATTGATAAGAATTTACTACGTTTACAGAAACCATGGTTCTTTGTTGTCTGGCATTGATATTCAAAATATATCAACATTGACCTTCACAATTAAAGTTATGTTCTCTTCTTTTAATAAACAAAATATATAAATTTACCTTCGCTATATTGATATCCAATTATTCATATATATAAATATCGTATCATTCTGTTATCAAGAAAATTTCTATTGAATTTTGTCTGTGAAACAACACAAGCATAGGCAGCTGTGTGCATTGTAATTTTCTCTAAATATTAATGCAACACAGACAGAAGGTCGTGCAAATAATTATTGAAAAAATAAATATTACAAATATTTTTATTTTTAGGTTCGAAACAAAAATTTCTATGTCATATTCATAACTGTTTGCCTTATTACTTATTGATATCGAAATGCATCAAAATGTGTTTTCTTCCAACAAGATATCGTGACCATGACCAAAAAGTATTAAATAAACGAGATCTAACGACCCAGATGAAGATTTCATATCTACATCTGGCAGAGTTAAATCAGTATTGGGAGTATGTGCAAAAATGCATGTACCAGTCATAATTATGTTTCTTACTTGAACGACGAAGTATGACCTAAAATTATTGAAGAACTTCAATTAGGTAAAACAACGACAATTAAAACGATCAAGTTTCATACACCAACTGTCGTAACTACTATATTTCATTAAATTTGCTGACTACTTTTCTGGAATTAAACTACATAAGCTTAGTCAGTATTAACCCCCTCTGACCGGAATCGTTCTAGAAAACACAAGTATTCTAATTGTATTACGTCAACGGATTTCTACATGATCATGAATAATAATAATGGTGGCTCGTGTAAGTAAATAAAAGACAATATATCAGAAAGGAAGTACTAATGACTGGACTGCCGAATTCATTAGAACTAATCGAGTCTACCATCGTTTGATTTTCTGTCTTGCATAATTTGTGACATTTCAAAATATTAAAAAATATAAAATTAAAAAGAAAGCAACAATTGTGATTGCTTCTGGACTCTTATTTGGCAACAGGTTCTATACAACTTCCGAGTGGAAAATTCACATTGAAAAAAATGCAATTTTGAAAGAGTTTCCTATATCATTTTCATTTTGCGTATATTCTACAATAAATGCAAATAAAACACAATTTATTTATTTGTTTGGTAACTATTCTAAAGCATACTATTCGACAAAAAACAGTCATAATCAATTCATTAAACAAAACAGTGTTATATAAAACTATCGGAAACTTTAACGATTCTTAATTAAAATCAAGTATACAAACAATTAATTTACCTTAATTAATAGTTGATATCTCACATGATTCCTATGGTCGCTATGTTACAATTGAACACCATAATATTTGTATATCTGTTTTTCTTCCAACTTTATTTTGAATAGAAACACACATCGTTGTTTGATTATCCTTTTCAATATATTGATAAATCCTCAGTATCTACGGCAAATAGTTCAATTTGTGTAAAATAGCAGTGTTGCCAATACTCAAAACATTCTCTATTTGTAATCACCGAGAACATCCCTTTAGCATCGAAGAAAAATGTAGACATCAATTAAGAAATGCAAACAGTGATTGATCAAGATATAGGTTATTGATCAGAATTGATACTTCTGTAATCACATCTATTCCTGCTTATATGCTATCTTTAATAATCTTGAAGAATAGATTTTTAACGATATTTACATTCCGATCTCAAGCTTCTCGCTAGCTTCATTTTATGTATGAATTCATTTTGAGTGCAAAATCGTTAGCGAATTGAATGAACCTATTTATAGTTTTCCAATTTCACCACCAACTTCTATAATGAACGATATTTTTATTCTCCTTTCATGAATTTGAATCCACTCATTACAACGCCATAAGATCGGTTTTAATTGAAAATGTTTTGTTCTCATAATAGTTTTTTTGTGAATTTATTACACAATTAAATACAAAAATCCTTTGTTATTTCAATGTATCATATAGATTTTCCATAAAAGTTTAAACAAAGAACTATCTACTATAATCACCAAAATGAATCAATAATAACAGGAAAAAAACAGAACAAAAATAAAAAGTCTCTGATATCTTGGCATCATCAAGACCAGTATTTTGCTTATTTTACCATTGAAACCCGACTAATGCAATTTTCCAAACATTCTATTCAAAGTAACATCTATCAAATAAGCCTTTATTTTCTCTTGCTTGATGTTATAAAAATCTATACAGAAAATGATAATATGCTGAGTGTATATAATTCAATTAGCCATAATTTTTCAAGCAGAGAAGTAGTGTATATTGACAATACATTTATACTTAGTTTTCTTCTTTAATTATTTATGCTGATCTTTCATTTTTGTCTTTTAACTTGTGCGTTTTGGTGTCTTCCAAGGAACTTTCTCCACAAAAATGAAACAAGAAAGACAGCGAGAGACAGACTAGAACATTTAAAATATTAATGCGCCCTTTGCACGTTAAGAACTCTTGCAACAACTCTTTGCCTGTTGCAAGACAAAAATTATGTTCCTAGGCAATATACCCTCATTTTCCGTTGTTTTCTATTCGTTTGATGTGTTTGAGTTTTTGATTTTGCCATTTGATAAAGGACTTTCCGTTTTGAATTTTCCTTGGAGTTACGTATTTTTACTTTTCTCCAGTTGCAATCAAAATTTCCCCGACTTTCATCCCAGACGGCTTCAATTACAGGACCTACCTAATGTATTTATTGTAAATTTGTTCTCATCCGGGACATGCATGAAATAAATGCCACTAGACGTTAAGCAAACAACAATCAATCAATTAAAATATTAATAACACTTAAATTGTGTACATCTTATATTGAGCTTTTCGTCATCAGCGTAATAGACAAGTTATTATTTTACGACTCTAGTGGTTAGTTTTATTCAGTGAATGAAGGACAAACACACACGTGTGTAAGTGACAATATGCTACCAAAAAACATTATAGGATTAAACACATTTTTCTAGGGGTTATTGATGTGTAAACTGGGGCGATTAACTCACAAACTTAACATAAAAGTCCTTCATTGATGTGTAAACTGGGGCGATTAACTCACAAGCTGAATAAAAGTCCTTCAAAAAGGACTTTTATGTAAAGTTTGTGAGTTAATCGCCCCAGTTTACACATCAATAACCTCTAGAAAAAATGTGTTTAATCCTTATAATTCTTAAGCCAAAGATTTGCAATTTTTAATTTACAATGTGTGTTCATAGGCTACTATTTCCCATCAAATGCACAACTGGCATGTCGTAACTAAGGAGTGAGCCGCCATATTGAATTTCTGAAATCCATAAATGTTCGATTAATGCAATATAATCTAAAATGAAATAGCACCTACCTCAAAAACTTCATTTTAATGAGATGTTATCTGAATTTGAGTCGTACAAGTAACGGAATAATCTTCAGCATGAGAGTTTTCATTCGTATGACGTTATGTTTTATCATGACATTAACGCGCCAAGATCATTCATCATATTTCGAAGAATTTTATTTTATTTCAATTGTAGACATTTTACAAGCTTTATTAATGCATTATTTCTTTTTGTCATGCGTTGAAAAAAACAAAAAAATAACAGTTCTGTATTTGATTTTTAGTCTCAATTTGCGTAGAACCCCTAGATCCCATTCATGTATATCGCGAAAGTTATGAAAGTAGTTTAGGCAACATTGGTTTATCGAAGTGTAAACCAAAGCAAAAATTTCTAATAGACCAATCCGATTCAAGTATTTGTTGATATGCAAATCATATAATTAAGGAATTCTTACACAATAAGTTAGACACACATATATTATACTCTTCATTCAAAAACAAGCATATAGTATGGTTAAAAGGAAGTAAATAACGATGACCGGCGCCACCTAGCTTTTACATCCAAGATAATAGGCAGAAGTAAATTTATTCTCTTTTGCCCTGTTAATTAGAAAACAAAATTGAAATAGTGAGAAATGAGTGTTGGCTTTTGTTGTAGAAATATAGAGAAATTTGGATTAAACTCTCTGTGACGAGTAACATTTTCTGTGCAAAATTAAGCAAGGGGTGTTCTTCATTCTTACTATATCGAAAATTCCGTAACCATAGATTGCCCTTAAAAATGTAATTTTTCTATTCAAAAAAGCTGCGGCACAATATGTGTTTTGCAGTTTTATTCACACCCAAATGTGTTGATAATTCAGAATTTGACAGTTTTATAAACGGATCTTTTACAGTAAAAACGCAGGACACAAAAAGGCTACCATTGTCGCCTATGTAAATAATTACTTCATTTTAACCATATTGTGGTAATCCGTAAAAGAAGGGGAAAGCTTATAAGAATCCTCACCCCACAAAAACACCATAAAAAGTGATGTTCAATGTCAGATTTTATTTAAACTTATGGGAGCAAATACATTATTACAAAGTATAAACAATTACATTTGAATATTGGACTCTCAAAAGCAAATATGTTATATAAATTTGGTTATGATATTAATGAAATCTGAAAGTCATTTTTAAGATCGAAACAGAAGTATTTTTTAACAATTGGTGACAGATGTGAACACTGACATAGTAATTAGCTGCGAAAAAATCCTACTCTACACGCTTTGTACCATCTCCGAAAGTTAAACTTTTGCCTTTTGCATGTTTCTTATACATTGTACATTGTAGCATGGTCATCGAAAGATTTATTGAATAACAGAAATAATAAATCATCAGACCAGGTATAAACGGTCGATTTCAAGCACTTAATGAGCCCTCAGACTTTGGCTTAAATGCTTCCCATGCACGGATTTCCACATAAAAAATAAATCCGCATTGATCTCGGATTGCAAAAACAGAGTTGTAATTTTAAAAGCAATACACATGTAAGTGCTACACAAATCCTTTAACATTAACGAATGCTCTAGTCAAGACGATCTTACTTAAAAGGCGAGACAGGAAATTGACGTAGAAAGTTTCACATTCCATGTTAAATGTATATTTATTAGTGATTTATTTTTCAAGAGCAAATATTTCATTCAGGACGAGAACAAACAAACATTATGTTCAATGAGTAGGTTCTGCAAAGTGGGTCAACGGCTATGAAGGGCAGGACACTTATCATGTTGATCAAGGGCAAACATTTCACCTTGCAACAGGCCACCTACAGACTAGCAAAGAGTTGTTGTATTGTTTATTTAGCGTGAAACTCCCTACACGAGGCAACGGATTTGGCTGCAAACTTTTTTTAAAAATAAAATTGAGAATGGAAACGGGGAATGTGTCAAAGAGACATAAACTCGAACAAAGAGCAGAAAACAGCTCAATGCCATCAGTTGGTCTACAACACAGCGAGAAAATCCCGCACCCGGAGGCGGGCTTTAGCTGGCCCCTAAACAGAAATGTATACTGGTTCAGAGAAAATGGACGTCACACTAAACTCCAAAGCATATAAATGAACCAAAATTAAAAAAAAACATACAAGACTAGCAAAGGCCAGATGTTCCTGACTTGGGACAGGCGCAAAAATGCGGCGGGGTTAAACATGTTTTGTGAGATCTCAACCCTCCCCTATACCTCTAGCCAATGTAGAATAAACAAACACACAGCAATACGCACAGTAAAACTCAGTTTAAAAGAAGTCCGAGTCCGATGTTAGAATAGGTAACACAAGCTCCAGACCTCAATTAAACTAATTGAAAGATTATGTCTTCGTCATATGAAAATCAAGCGCAATCTCTTCCGTTAGGGGTTTAGTACCATACCATCAAAAAATATACGAGAAGAACATAACCCGTATCATGCCAACAACTGGTTTTAGAATAGATGTGTTTTTTTCCGATGCAAAGACCCTATGAGTGAATCAATATTAATTCCAAAATATGCCATCTTTAATTACCTGACAACAGTATCGTAACTATATCCCTTCAGAATAAGTCTGCTTAAAGGTTTGATTAGCTTTTGTTTGAACAATTTATTACCAGGTTTTTGATTGTATTCATACATCTCGCACAGTTAAACGGACGTTTAAGCATGTGTTATACTGCCGAATGGGAGCAGTCCATGTGACCAGTCCATGTGACCAGATTTCTATGTATACCTCAGTCAATCCTAGGGAACCCTAGGGGTACAACCATTGTCACCTTTGATCGCTTTCGGCTGCAAGCTAATGCCATAGTTACAGTACTACGCAGTAATAAAAAACACAAGCAAAAAACTTTTTGCTTTTAAAAATTCCATCAGATTTTGATTTGGGTGGATTTCAGTATACTTAAAGAAATGTAGGATTGATTTCATTAGGAAATCATCTTTGGGATCAGATATATGAACCATTTCAGGTAAAGCTCACCTTAGCTGAATTTTGTTATTCTTTTACGTTCACTTTTGGTCACAAAGATCCTTATGTTTCTATGTATTTATAAAATTATATATTTATAAACTTTCATTTTTATTTACTAGATCGATATAACTTCTGGTAATTGTTAATACTCGATGGTACTATCAGCTCAGTCTACTATACGTAGTCAGTGACTTGGTACTGACATGATTTTTTAACATATTTTTCTAAAATTCCCCGTTGACAAGGTTGTG